CGGCGTGAGCGATCGCCGCCGCCGTCTGCACGTCAAAGTTGGGCGTCACTACGAGGGGGCTCTTTCCTCCCAGCTCCAGTGAAACGCGTTTCAGTGTGGCACTGGCCTTTTTTGCAATTAGTTTTCCAGTCGCCGTAGAGCCAGTAAAGGAGATTTTGTTCACCTGAGGGTGCTCCACCAGGGCGGCGCCCGCCGTGTGCCCGTATCCAGGAACGACGTTGAGTACGCCAGGCGGAAAACCAGCTTCAGCAACGAGTGAGGCGAGGTAAAGCGCGGTCACCGGTGTCTTCTCTGAAGGCTTGACGATGCACACGTTTCCGCAGGCCAGTGCGGGCCCGATCTTCCAGACTATTAACAAAAGGATTATACATTTTAAAGTGAGGGTCAATGAGTGGGTAAAGAATCCACCAGAAGCACTTACAGGTTAAAAGGAGCGGGAAATTAAATGGGCAAATTGCTGGAAAAAATAAAAAAAAGAGTTAAAATCTTGCGACAAAAATCTCGAAAAAACAAAAATCATAAAAACATAAATCTCAAAAGAAAACCGCAAAATTAACTTAAAAATTCCACCAAAAATTGAGTACATTTTTGAATTCTTCTTAGCCAACCTTTTCCAACAATACCTTAAATGCAAAACCAAATTCTTGCGCGAAAGCCTTAAAAATTGGGTCGAAGGAAACTTTTTGGGAAAATCCAAAAGTTTTTAGGAAAAAATTGTTTGTACAGCCAAAGGCACAACTTTGACGCCATTTTTAAGGTCTTCGCGCACAAATTTGATTTTTCATGTAAGGTATTACCAAAATGGTTTGACGAAAGGAATTCAAAAATATACTCAATTATCAGTTGAATTTTTGGCCCAATTTTGCGGTCCTCTTTTACTAACCTTATCTAAGATAAGATAACAAATTTGAGATTTTGGACACGCGAGATTTTTGCCGCGAGATTTTGACCGGTACCTCAACCTCACCTAGACAGACGCCAACTGGCTCGATGCGGGTAAAGCTGGTGACGCCCCCATCTGCTGGAATAGTCTTGCCGTGAATTTTGTCCGCCCAACCGGAAACGTAGCGCAACGCCGCCACCGAAGCTTGCACTTCAAAGGTGGACGTATGCACCAGTTTGCCGCTCTCTAGCGAGCCCAGAGCTGCCAACTCTTCGATGTCTCGCTCCAGCAAGTCAGCCAGCTTGTTCAGCAGTCGACCTCGGGCAGAAGGGTCCAGTTTGCGCCAGGGAGAGTTCAGACGGAAAGCGGCCACGGCAGCGGCCACGGCCTTGTCGGCGTCAGCCTGTAGTCAAAATGAAAATTAATCATAAAGTCCCCAACTCTAGGTCTCAGCTTTCTGCTTACCTTGTCACCCTCGGCAATGTCGGCATACTTTTCCTCGGTAGTGGGATTGATCACGGGGAAGGTCTTGCCGCTCACCGAATCGACCCATTCGTTGTTGATGAAGATCTGTAGAAAAAGAATTCAATTGATGAGTTAGATGATCAATTGAGAGAGTAACAAGAACCAGTTACTTTTGTGTACTTGACGTTGACCATGTTTGTTGGCTTTGATTGTTGGTGATTTACTTGTTGACAGTTGTTGAACAGGCAGCTGAAGGAAACTTCTCGGTACAGATGTGAGCACGGCACTGACTTCACCGCCACCGGCGACTCCTCTTTTATATGCTGATTAGTCTTCTCACACAAGAACTCTCTTTCTTTATCGTCAACATTGCTTCAATGGTGTTGTCCCACAAGTGCATTGGCTGTACACGGCAAATGGCAAATAGAACAAGTTGAAGTGGATAGATAATTATCATTGAAATTACCACTGGATCTGCAGCACATCCACAGTTGAGCTCGGCCACTCTACCTCTACTGTTTCCTCGCTAACATGTTTGTTTGCACTATCACTTGATTTTTGGCTACATTTAGCTGTAACCTTGTGCATTCAGCAACTGCTGTTGTTGATAATTTTTTATATTTTTGGTCAACCTTTGC